CCTGTGCCCTCTTCAGCTGCCCCAGTCTAGTCCTGCCCGGAGCTTTACTGTGCATTGCACGTTTCAGTTCTTTGGGGAAATGCTGAATTGCAAGAGGCTGCTTGCTGGCAAATGGCCTGTGACTCCTCTCAGAGGGGTTAAAAATAAGAATTCTGGTTTCTGGTGTAGCGGAGATGGAGATGCACGTGGAAGCAGTGATTCCTGCCTGTGTGACTCCACTGTCAAGCTCCTTCTTCCCCAGGGCTCCATGCTGTTGCTCTGCCCCCGGATGAGTTTTGCTGTGCTGCTGTGGAAGGCACCACTTTGACTCCACCGCTCGGAATGGAGAGCTGAAGCTGCTGGGCCAGCAGCCCCTTCCTGCCTGGGGACAGAGCCAGAGGAGGGCTGTAGGTGAAAAGAGGACTTTCTGCCGGGGAGATGGACCCCCAACGCCAAGGAATCATAGAATAGAATCATAGAATGTTTTGGGTTGGAAGGGACCCCTAGAGGTCATCTAGTCCAACCCCCCTGCAGTGAGCAGGGACACTGCTAACTAGATCAGGTTGCTCAGAGCCCCATCCAACCTGGCCTTGAATGTTCCCAGGGATGGGGCCTCCACTACCTCTCTGGGCAACCTGTTCCAGTGTTTTACCACCCTCATTGTAAAAAATTTCTTCCTTACCTCTAGCCTGAACCTACCCTGTTCTAGTTTAAAACCATTTCCCCTTGTCCTAACACAGCTGGCCCTACTAAAAAGACGTTCCCCATCTTTCCTATAGGCCCCCTTTAGGTACTGGAAGGCCGCAATCAGGTCTCCCCGTAGCCTGCTCTTCTCCAGGCTGAGCAAGCCCAACTCTCTCAGCCTGTCCTCATAGGAGAGGTGCTCCAGCCCTCGGATCATTTTTGTAGCTCTCCTCTGGACCCGTTCCAACAGTTCCATGTCGGAAGGTGGGGAACCACTCCACTGAAAGGGAAACTGGCAACGTGGTGCCACCTCTTTGTCGAGTTTGTGCTGCCCTCTGCTCTGTCGGTGCCGCGACACGCTGCGGCAGAGGCGAGCACCAGCCAGGACTTAGCGCCTTATCCCAGAGGTCTAACGGCAGCACGTCTGCAGGGGATGCAGGGCTGCACACGGAACAGGGCTTTGTAGCTGATTTATCAGAAAAGAGGAATTGCAGAATCCCAGAATGGCAAGGGTTGGAAGGGACCTGGGGAGCTCACCCAGTCCCACCCCCCTGCTCAAGCAGGTTCTCCTAGAGCATGCTACACAGGACTTCGTCCAGGCGGGCTTTGAATATCTCCAGAGAAGGAGACTCCACAGCCCCCTGGGCAGCCTGGGCCAGGGCTCAGGCACCCTCAAAGTCAAGAAGTTTTTCCTCATATTCAACTGAAACCTCTTCTGTTTCAGTTTGTGCCCATTGCCCCTTGTCCTGTCTCTGAGCACCGCTGCAAAGAGTCTGGCTCCGTCCTGGTGACAGCCACCCTGGGATATCAACATAGGGATAGGGCACACATGGGGGTGATGGGCTGAAGCATGATTGTATGTCAGGCCTTAGAGTAGGGGATGTCACCTCATCCACAGCAAAGGCTCGTCCCCACCATCTGACCAGCTGTACAGGATGTGCCTTTGCAGTCTCCCAGCTAGCCTGGCAGGCACAAAATCTCCATCCAGGCTGTCAACAAAAAGCCATTCTCCAGGGCCTTCCTGGGGAAAGGGCAGGCTCTGAACTTTTCCCTGGAGGCTACTCTGTTCCCTGTTTATTGCTCAGCACACTTCTTTTCACTCTCAGCAAAATATGGTTTTTTTGTGCAAAGAGAACAGACCTCCCTTTGGGCAGGGATCATTTGCATTCATTAACAGAGCTGTTATGCATGGCCACGCTCTGTCGCATAGGAGCCAAACAAACGCCTTCTTTTTTTTGTCATAACCTAAGAGTTATTACAAGTCAGCCACCGCATCCGTTACAGCGGATGCCTAACACGTGCGTTCACGCTGCTGCACGCTCCACAAAAGTGGGCTTGTATTTGCTTCCCCCCCACTGGAGCTCTGGACACTGCTTTACTGTCTCTTGTGGTCCAGGCACTGTTCCCCATTAATTATATCTTAGCAGTGGTCATACACCTTCATTTCCTGGGAATGAAGTTTTACAAGGGAATAAGGAATATTTAGCGCTGGCAATGAGGCTGAGAGTTCAGGCGCAGGGAGCGGTGGGGTGTCTTTTCCCTGGTCTCTACTTCTTGGCCATGGGAATCACTGCAAGGAAAGATACTGTCATCCTTGTCACTCTCTGCATTGGGACTTGCCCAGAGTTGTGCAGTGACTCAGTGACAGGGCTGGGAAGAGAGCCCAGCACTTCCGACCCTCTTTGGAAAGGCGTTTGATTACTGTGATGCCAATGCATCGGCTACAGCAACTTTCAGTCTGGGAAGGTGTCTGTGCCCTTTCTGTCTCTCCCCTGACCGCTGGAGCCGAGTTGTGTGCTACCCCCCACCGGGCCGGGGCAGCAAACCCCTTCTCACCAGGCTCCAAGAGTGCAACGAGAAGCGGCCCCATCTTCTCCCTGCTCCTCTGCCCTGTCCTGCATCGTCCGCCGCGGTCCTGCCACTGCTGCGGAGCCGGGAGCTCCCATCCTTTGCTACCGGTGCCCAGGAGGGGCGAGGCGAGTGCTCTCCATTAGATCTGGGGCATGACTTAAATACTGATGGGGAGGAATGTGCTCAGCAGTGTATTGAAAAGATAAACCAGCTCCAGCAGGTCAGGAAAACCCTCAGGCTTGCAGCTTGGGAGGGGAATAAAGGCGAGAAAGCGCTGTCTGCTCTCTGCCCCTAAACCAGGTCTGGGAGAGGAGCTCTTGAGCCCAGGTAGAGATGCTAATAATTATAAACCGCCTTCATGCAGGCACCTCTTGTCCAGCAGCGTCCACGCATGTGAATTAACGTGCTGAGGGCGTCCTGGGGATGCTGCAGCTTTCCGAAAAGCTCAGCTGAGGGGTGTGGGAGGCAAAGGCCAGTTAACTCCTGGGCTCTGCTTTCCTGTCAAGGGCACAAGGGCATCCTGCTCTCATCGCTGGAAAGCATCAACAGGCGTTGCCGTTGTTGCGTGCTCGTGAGTCTTCCCCGCTGACACAGAGATGAGGAATCTCGCATCATGCAGGATGATGCAAATAGAAGAGGGCATTGCAGGCTTCTCTCCTGCTCGGGAAAGATGTTTATTCATCTTTTTTCCTCCCCCAGACTCTAGTACACGATACAATTGCTATTTGAAAAAACGAATAGATGGCGGCGTTCGTGGCTGAGCAGGCACAGCATGGTGGGTTTCTATTTTTAGGCTCAGCACGGCTGGCGACGTGTAGGTGTCGTGAGGAGCACAGAGGCTGAGGGGATTCTCTCGCCGCAGGGATGCGGGGGCAGGCGCACGAGTGCAGCACACAGGCTTTTTTTTTTTTTTTTCCTTTTTTTTTTTTTTTTTTTAGACTCGTCTTTTTTTGCTTGTCTC